TATATACTCTTTTTCCTAGAGTCAACTAAACTCTGTAATCTACTCATTACGTTACAATATTTATAGAGGAACTTAATTTTTCACAAAATCCGCACTAATTTTATTTTTTTATTTAGTGACAAAAAATTGTGACGGATCTTTTAGAGACAAAATTTAATCTTTCACAAACTTCAATAAATGGTAGTCCGTTACAAAAATTAAAATTCCCCACAAAATTCGTCACTATTAGTGACGATATTTTGTTCGTCACAAACATTAATCACAAATATTAATTTTTCTTGTAGTACCTCTTAAATACTCTCAAATTATTAGTTCTTTGTTGCATTTGTCTAATTACTCTAGATCGGACATTGCATATGTTATTGGTAGATTATGAAGATATACTCATAATCATGATCATTCATATTGGCTTGCACTAGAAAGGTTATTTGAATATCTTAAAGGACTATTAATCATGACATTCACTATGCATGTTATCTAGCTGTAATTGAAGGTTTTAGTGATGCAAATTATATTTCTAACTCTTATGAACTAAATCTACTATTGGTTATATATCTTTACTTTAGTTGGAGGTGCAATAGCTTGAAAATTTGCAAAACAAACTATCATTTCTCATTCTGCTATGGAAGCTGAAATAATTGCCTTAGATACTACTAGTAGTAAGGCCAAATTTCTTAAAAATTTATTATATGATTTGCCCTTGGTAATAAACCTGTACCTTAAATCTTAATGCATTATAATAGTCAATTTTTTATTGCTAAAATTACTAACAAAAACTTTAATGAAAAAAGGCACTTGAGAATAAGACACAAATATATTAGACCATCAACTAGTTGAATCGTCGAGGGAATGGAACTAAAGTCCATCAACTAGTTGCAACAATGGACACTCGTCTCCACATACATGGCGATCTCATTAATGGAGTTCAATGGGTAATAACGAAATTATTTGTTAACTAAGTACACCATTGTAAACTACAAAATTATTGCATGTTTCATTCCTATTACGAGGTGTGTTCTAAAGTAAATTGTGATAGTAATAAGGTTGAGGTATTCAATTATTTATATTTATTGTGTTAAAATAAAATAAAAAAAACACCTCTTAATGGACTCAATGACAATTGTTGTAGGAATGGGTGTCATAGACCACCCTTGGAATAGTTCACCTAGTGAGTGTGGTGGTGGGGCCGCTATTGTAAGATATGGACAATCTCTAAGTGACACTCATAAAATAAGATATATGCGCAAGACTGTAATGCACTCTACTGATTAGAACTCAAATGAATACCTTTATTATATATGTTATGTTCTAAAATTTGGTCAAAGGGATATGGCTCAAGACAATCATGTCTCCATACTCTCTTAGATAGAAGTTCATATGCATTAGGTATAAGGCTCAAACTCAAAAAGTTCCTTGTACTAAATATATAATATATCATGCTCCATTAAGATGTTTAAGTTATATATATATTTCATCATTTTCCATATTTAAATTTTAAACTAGTAGGAGATTGTTGAGAATTATCTTATAATTTAAATTTTAAATTAAATATTTCATTTGATCAATCTTTTTTTTTTTTTAATATTTTAACGTTTCAACAGCAAAACCGTTATGGATTTTTGTTTTTGAGCCTGTGACCAAGTCTCCAATTTTTCAAATTGGTTAACATTGACCAAGTGCACAATGTGGAGCTTTTCATCCATTAGCCTTTGTTGTTACCGGAAAATATGCAAAACCTAGTGCACGTTCTTTATCTTGCATAAAAAGTCTCTAATATTGTGCCTATATATATACATTAGTACATGAGAAAAAATATACATAGATATACAACAAGTTCACTCATCTCTCCCTTAAAATTATTTCTACTACTAAAATATATTTTTTTAAACAGTATTTTTTGGTTCTTTTGCTGCACTTAAATGGTCTAACGAGTTGACGTATCTTGAAAGAGGAGCGCACTATAAGACTCAAAATTACCAGTGTAGTGAAGACATTTTCTCTTTAAGGATAACGTTCTACGACTTTAACTTAGACTACTTTAATATTGTTATTTATTATTTTAATTTAGTCTTTGTGTTTAATTGATTATTGTGACATCCTCTACCCCAACATATATATATATATATAGTAATTATATAAAATAAATAAAATAAAATACAATTCTTCAACATAAGACAATCAAATCTGCAACAACACAAGGTAAAGTGTTCACATTCATAAACTTAATCCAAATAACATGTAGAGAAATTACAAGGAAATGAAACTGAGTTTTCCAAAATAATTTAATAAAAATAACATCCCAATCTAATCTTATTTATGTCCTATCAAAGCAAATCCCAACATAGAAGCCTAAGTTTCATCACCAACATCCTCAGCCTCATGCTGATAATAACCTGTATGACAGTTAGAGAAAATAACACAAGAGAAAAGGGAGTGAGAAAACATCTCACTCTAGCTCACAGTGTAGAAATACACACCGAATAGCCAAACACAAACAAGACAGGTATAACATAGATATATTAACAACAACATTACATCTCACTCATCCAAGACATAAAAATATCAATTTATCATATAACATTAAAAATGCACATGTATGGACACAGACTACATATTATCATGCATGTGGCGCCAGTAAAACATCACATGGCATATTGCCGCTAGCAATACACGAAGAGTAGTCTAGGAGTACATGCCGGGTCACACCCTCTGTGAACTCTCACTAGAAAGACATACTACTAGAGTCTCGTCGGGATAGTTAAGCCGCGCAAGATACATCTCATGCACACAATGGGCGAGACTGGGACTTCCAAACCGAGCTATCCCCAAGGACTAATCCCCAAAGCTTTTACACTAAGGAGCCTTCTCTGGCGGTGTATTCCATATCGTACCCTTAAAAACATTTATGCACATGATGCATGTCAATCAAGACGTATTCTCATATAACATTGTCATGTCTCATTATCATATCATATCATCATGTCTCACTATCACTTTTCACATCATCTCATCATATCATCATATTACATTACGACATCTTCATATCTCATGTCTCAATCACATTTTAAATTACATCATCATATTCACATAGCCTCCACAGAGCACTTTAATTTATATAAAAACTCGTCTATTTGTAAAATTAAATACATATTTTTACATCTCATCAAACAAGGAATATAACAGAACAATCAGAAATCAAAACAGAAAATATTCATATTTTGCCTATTTCTCATAGGATTTCCCGTAAGAACTCATAGAGCACTCTAAATCATATCAAGACATATTTATTCTCAAAATTAATCACATATCTACACATTACATTCAACAAGGAATACAATAGAGCAATCAGATAGCAAAACAGAAAACATTCATATTTTGTCTGTTTCTCATAGGATTCTCTCAAGAACCTACCGAGATCTCGAATCATACAATTATTTACATATAAGAAGAGCAATAGAAGAATCATATATACTTGGGAAAAACCTCTCATACATGAGCATACAACAAACATAGGATTGGGGGCCAATCCCACTACCCAACATATATTCTCACACCCAAAGCGAGGTTTCTCACTCCCCCATTACCTCGATAAGCAGGAGCTGAAACTAAAGGCAGATCTTGCTAGTCCCCTCTTCTGGGTTCTCCCTTGGTCTTCAAAGAGTGTAGAAGAAAAAAGAGGTCAGAAGTGAAAAATGTGCTTTTGGGAGTGCCGGAGCGTTCTATTTATAGGCATCAGGAGTGGCCAGAATGGCCCCTTTCGAATCCGGAATGGCCCATTCTGAACTCATTCGTCATGCTAAAATTTCATATCCAGAACGGCTCGGGATTACAAATTAACTCACAACGGTCATGTGTGGAACGACCCGTTTCCAATCTACGGTTTAAAGGCCATTTTAGTAGTTTGGAACGACTCGTTCTAGTTTGGGAATGACCCGTTCTAAACTACTAAAAAAAATCAAAATATTAAAAAAATAATTTTCATAAATATTTATTATTAAAATGCTCATAAATATTAAAAACCTTTAAAACATTCTATAAAACTCATTAAAATATCTATAAGAAAATAACATTCATAAATATAAAAATAAATAATAATTAACTATTATACTAGTAAAAAATTTGAGATGTTACAATTATTACTGATGACTCTATTTTTAATTTTAAAATATTTATTGTTTTGTTGATATTGATCTTCTTGATAAAAATAATTAATTATTTTTTATACTCGATTAAATTTAATTTAATTTGTATTTCAACTTATGTTAGTATAAATACCAAAACCCTAAGCGTATTAAGCCAAGGTCCAAACATAAACTCCTTGAACCCACAACATTACCCATTCACACGCAAGCGCCAAACTCGTTTCGTCTTGAAACCAACTTCGTCCGGGACCTAAAGCTAAATGATTAAAAGCACCCCACTTTTATTTACTAATAAATACCTCATTTTTTAATCTTTTAAACAATATAATTTTCTAAAATAAACTGTTTTTTTTAGCAAAAATTATAAGCTGAAATAGTATAATTACACCTAAAACAATCCATATTAAAAAATCTCATCGAGATATGAGCTTGACTTTACCATATTGTTCTCAGTCCTAGCTCACACTCTTGCTAGAAAAACAAATTTCCATGTCTAGATTCATTGTACCAATGAGGTTCCAAACGAAAGGGACATAGATTATTATGCTTCAATTTAACCCTTTTCACACCAAATCAATTGGTACACTTGGATGGTTCCCATCCATGGTTAATGCTTCTCACATCTGATGATCGAAGCATGAAGCAGAGGCTATATCAATAGCCTTGCTTGTACGACTAAAACGCTTAGAATAATCGTTACAATACAACATATTAGGTTCATAGTGACACTGACAACAAATGAATATCGTGAATGCCACGTCACGGAACACGTCATCATCCTTTTAAAAATATCAAAACCCAAAATCAAGATAGCGTACGTGGTCCCGAAATAATTAATATTTAATCATAGGATATGACATAGATAATAGAACATAACCCAGTTGAAGATTCCAAAGGTGTGGGAGTGGAGAGTAGAGAAAAGATGGCGCGGTTGTGTGTGGCGTGGTGCTCGGTGGCGGTGCTAGTGTGCGCGGCGGCGGTTGGTGCGTCGTGGGTGGAGGAGCCGAACCTGATACGAATGGTTTCGGACGTGGAGTCTGACTGAGGTGTTTGGGGTGATCGGGCAGTTCAGGAATGCGTTGACTTTTGCGAGGTTCGTTGATAGGTTCGGGAAGAGGTACCGAAGCGCGGAAGAGATGAAGGAGAGGTTCGAGATTTTCAAGCAAAACCTGAAGTTCATCCGCTCCGCCAACAAGAAGCGCTTGCCCTACACTCTCGCTGTTAATCGTATGTCTCACACTTTTCTCTTCTTTTTCTTCTTCTCATACCTACCCAAAGGTGTGGATATCACACAATAACAATATAAATTGAGGAGGAATTATTTTACTAGTAAGTTTTACTTTGATTTATTTTGTTTAATAATTTACATTTTATATTAAATTTTAATAATTTAATCGTTTAATTTAAAGTTGTATAGATTAAATTTATAAATTTTTAAAAAATTTAAAAATTATTTAATATTTCGGTTCATTAATTCAAATTAATGTATAAAATGATTTTATAATTATCCATCAATTTGAATTAATGAAATGAAGTATCAAATAATTATTAATTTTTTAAAAATTTACAGATTTGATCTATGCATTAAGAAATTTAAATTGAACGGTTGGATCATTAAAATTTGATGTATAACATGAGTTATTGAACAGAGTAAGTCTAGATAGACTTATTTTTGGAGTAAAAGGATCCTTCATCATATAAATTTATCAAATTTTATTATATCTATAACCATCATATACTATATTTAAATTATTTTTTTATTTTTTATTTTTAATTTTGTGTTTTACATCTATTTTATATAAGATTTGATGATCATGTAATTGCAGTAAAAGAAATTATATTATCGCATATATGTTGATATGATATTTGAAGTAATTATTAGAAAAACTAATAAATTTATTGTGCACATAATTTATAAGTAAATAGTAATGTAAAATTATTTTATATTATCAACGTATAATCTATTTTCCATTTTTATATATTTCATTATAATACGTCATGTTTTATATTTTTTAAAAATTGTTTTTTTTTTCCTGTGTCGTGTTAAACTGTTTGTGCTTTCTTATTATCTAAATAAGTTTAAAATAAATTCATCGAGTACCATTCTATTATATGCTGGGAAATGTTAGTAATTAAGTAACATTCTATGACATACGAGTCCCATAAGATAAAAAACAGACTCAAGTTATTTAGTAAAAAGAAATATGTAATTCATCAAACAGTGAAGAGCATGATAAAATAATATTAAAAAGAATATGGTAATGTTATCGGCGCTCATGTAATACTTATGGCACAATTTAACAGTTCTAAATATTTACGAGTACTTATCATTTTCAAGCTTTGATTTATATTTGCCTTATATCATTCATTTAGATGTCTCAAATATTTCAAGTAAAATCATATTTTCACTAGGATGATAAGCAAATAGTGAAATGTTTAGATAATTTATATGAAATCATAAATTTATTTCCTTTTTTCCAGTTAACAATGTTATAATATTGTAATTTAATTGTCATGATTGTACTAAAACAAGTAACATTTTTTTAATTCTATAAATTACATCACGAGTGCTTACTTTACACAAAAATCTTTAGTCTCTTTGCTTAACAAACATAAACCAAACATCTCCTACTTATTTTTACCAACAATATTCAAATCAAATTAATCATTTCTCACAAAATCAAGATTGCAATTAAATAATGAAAATATAACCCAAACACACACTTATTTGTTTAATGGAAATTTTAAATATATTTTTTCTTCAATTTTTGAGTTAAACTTTTGTGATTGATTTTCTTGAAATCAAGTAAGTAATCAGAAATATAGAGTTAAGGAAAAGAAGAAGAAAGATGCATAAAATTTCTGTTTCACATTTGTGAGTGCTATAGTTTGGTTTTGGTGTTGTAGAGAAGCAGAGAGAAGGGGAAAGGGTTTTGGTTTGAAAGTTGAAAGAGGTTTTGATTTGTTAGGATCGCGAACCAGAAGT